AAGATCATAAAATTCTTCTTGTTGTTTTCATCTAACTCTCTAACATTAAGTTTAGGAGGAGGGTCAAAAGAATCTTCTATTTTATCTTCATAAAAAGTTGGTATGATTTTCTAGATTTCATTTCATTCTTCATTAGTTTTTGTATAACAATATGGGCACATTTGCTTTAAGTTTTCTTTTTCCATTTCTTGCAAAAGATTAAGAGTATAGATTCTTTCTTCAAGTTGTTTATTTTCATATTCAGTTAATTCATCAGATTTACTTGAGGATTTATATTCACTTTCACTTTATCAAAGCTTTCTTCTTTTGTTTTTTTTTTGAATATAGCTTCACTCTTGGAATTCCAGTAACATATCTAAATTCAATAGGAACTTGAATTTTTATACTTTGTTTTTAATCTTCATTACTGATTTTTCTCAGTTAATTTTTGCTTTGGCTTTGGATAACCAGTCATTACCAACAATTACAGAGTATATATCAGTATCTGCAACTACTATATCAATTGGTAAAGAGTATTCTCCAATTTTAATAGGTAAGTTTTCTACTTCTCCAAGAGGTCTTCTCTTTTCTCCATTTACATTTGACATTAAAGTTGTTGATAGTTTTGTAATTTTTAAGCCAATACATTTAAGAAAATGATTAGAGATAATACTTCCAGTAGAACCACTATCGAGAATAATATTGGTAGTAACTCCATTAACATTAGCTTGACAATATAATGCTGTAGTTTTAAATTTTCTATCATTTGCATATTGGGCAATAATCATAAGTTTAGGAGCAGATTTAATCTTTTTCTTTCAGAGGCTTCTACTTAGCTCTCTTAGGTATTTGGGGCTTTCAGCAACAAGTTGAGCAATAGAGATATTTGTCTTGATTTGTTGTAAGTCTTCAACAATTGAATATTTTGATACATCTTTACTAATTTTTAGTTTATGAAATCTTGAACCTTGTAAAGAATTTCTTTTCTTGTTAGCTTTAGGAGTTTAGAACCTTCTTCTTGAGGGTTATTTACTACAATATTTTGAACTTCTAGAGTTTTATTTCTTCTACTACTTTTCTTCTTTTTCCTACATAGGCTTCATTAATATTATTTTTATCTTCTTTTTTTAAATAGATTATAAAAGGGTTTGTATTGTCTTCAGAAGCATCTGAACCTTCTGTATTCACTGACACTGATTCAAGTTTAAATGTTGTAAGAGAGTGGCTAATTGTTGTGTAATGTGATTAGAGTTATTATTATTATTATTATTTTGTGGTTGATTGTTATTATTTTGAATAGGGTTTGGACAATTGTTGTTTCTGTGTTGATTATTTCTAGGTTGATTATTATTATTTATTGGAGAGTTATTTTGTTGGTTGTTATTATTTCTTGAGTTAGGGCAATCCCAGGCAATATGTCTAGGTTGAAAACAATTAAAGAAAACAGGTCCTTTTTGATTATTATTGTTATTGTTATTATTATTGTTTTGGTTGTTTCTTTCAAGATGGTTGTTGTTTTCTAATTTCTTTTCAATCTTCTTTTCAAGGTTTTCTATACATTTAGTAAGAGCTTCCATTATAATTTTAACAGAATTAGAAGATGTAGGAGTTGGAGTAACAATATTGTTATTAAGATTAGAAGTAATATATATTGCAGCACTATAATGAGTAAGTTCACAGGTTTTTGCTCTGTTAACTACTTCATCCCAAGTATTTTCACCAAATAGATATACTCCCATTTGTAATTCTGTTCTTAAACTAGTAGTAAATTTACAGACTTTTCTATTTCTGGATAAACATTAGCATTTGTTTCTAATCAACAATATAATTCATGTAGATACATAACATATTGGTCTACTGTTTCAGTTGGTCTTTGTATGCAGTGAGTTAGTTTAGTAGCCCAAATGTCAATAAGAACAGGAGTTCAGAATTGGTTAAGAAATCAAGGTTTAAAACTATTGGCTAATTTTGTATATCCTAGTGTCCAAAAGCTTGTTGTTGGTTGGCATTATTATACTAAATTGCTGCTTTATTTTTAAGATAGGCAGAAATAATTTGTAGTCTTCTTGTATTAGTAAAGTTGTTGGCTACAGCCATACATTCAAATTCCTTAATCCAAGTAACTGGATCTTGGTTACCACCAGCAAAAAGTATAATTTTGATAAGTTTAGTTTCTCTTTGTCCAAGATGATTAGTATTATTAGCAACAGCATTTGTTTGATTTTGAATCCAGTTATTTAGTGCTTGAATAGTATTAATTAAATTATTAATATCTTGTGCTTGTAATGTCATATTATTATTATTTAGAAGTAATAAAGGTAGAGTAATAGGAGGAGAAGGTATAGGAGTTTGATATAATTGTTCTAAATCAAATTTAGATAAATCAGAAGTTTCAAAAATTTCAGATTCTACTTTACTATAATTATAAAGAATTAAAAATAGATCTAAAGTAAATCGATTTGTTCGAAGATAAGCAGTATAGATTTGAATAGGTAAAGAATCAAATACTAAAGGAGT